AGTGATGAGGATTTGGACAAATATGTGGCCGACTTAATAATGAAAGAAGCTTCTGCCAAAAATAAATTATACAACAAGGAAGGGATTAGAGCTTATTTACCTCATACTGAAACGTAAGTAAAACTATGCCCAAGGTCTTTACTGTTAAAGAACAATTCTGTTTAGTTTTTACCTATTAATTTTTGTAGGCCTGCATGTAATCTTCCAAAAACAAATAAACGGTTCTTACTTAACGTAATAAAAAGTGTAGATGGTCATAATCAGGCCTTGATCAAAAAGTCTGAAGAAGATGCTGCTGCTGCTCGTATGCGTAATTTTAGACGCTTAGAACGATTACACCGGCGCCGTTCAAGCAAAAGGAGACATAGGGATAGTGATAGAAGCAGCCGGAGGAGATCGCGAAGGGATAAATCAAGGTATGCCGACCATTTTAGTAGTAGTAGATACAGTGATTCTGATTACAGTGAAGAAGAAATTTCTAGGTCAAGGTAAAAGTTTGTTCATTATTTCTTTATTGTACATTATATAATTTATCGATGACATACTTATACTATATTTTTGCTAATTAGGAAAAGAAAACGAAGAAGTCGACATAGAGATTATGAATATAGACGATCTAGAAGCCCAAGTTATAGTTCGACTTCAAGTTCTAGTTCAAGTTCGAGTCGCAGCTCAAGTAGCTCTAGGAAAGAGAGTAAATGTGATGTGAATGAAGGTGATGTGAAAACCCCTGATGTAAATAACCATTATACGGACCACGTAAATAACCATTATATGGATAACGTAAATAACCATGATATGGATAACTGTGATATGAGTAACAGTGATATGTCAATTTCACCAATATCAATGTCACCAAAGATTAACTCTTACTCCGCATCAGAAGTAAGTAAAAGTGCACCGGTTATTATACGTAAAGGCCGCGGTGAAGTTAGTGATGGGTCAAAAATGGATAAATACTTTGAAAAAGACTATGATCCCATGTACGATTTTGAAAAGTTCGCTTGGCTCAATTATGTTGCAGTCAATAGAAAAGTAACAACCAAAACTGAAGATTTACCACTTATTACTGAAGAAGAAATTGAAGAGATTGAAAAAGTTGAAAAGAAAAAGAAAAAGAAGAAACATCATAAAGAAAAATCGAAGAAACATCGTAAATCTAAAAAGTCAAAAAAGAAACGCAGGCGAGATTCTGATTCAGAGTTATCATCAGATTCTGATAGTTATGTGGACTCTGATTCGCCGACAAAACGTAAAAAAACTAAAGACGAAGTTGTACGTGAATGGGATATGCCCAAATTAACCGGTTGTTGTATAATTTATTTTTGGCAGAAGCTTCTTTCATTATTAAGTCGGCCACATATTTGTCCAAATCCTCATCACT